TGACTTTGTATCCAACTACACTGCTGAATTTATTACTTCTCATAGTCTTTTAATGGAGTTTTGGGTCTTCCATATAGAGTATCATGTCATCTGCAAATAATAATAATTTAACTTTTTCTTTCCTATCTTTATTCCTTTTATTTCTTTCTCTTGTCTGATTTCCCTGGCTAGTGTTTCTAGAACCATATTGAATAGGAGTGATGATAGTGGACATCCTTGTCTTGTTCTTGATTTTAAAGTGAAAACTTTCAGTTTTAGTATAGTGTTGGCTGTTGGATTGTCATAAATGGCCTTTATGAGATTGAGGTACATACTGTCTATTCTGAATTTCTGTAGAGTTTTTATCATGAACGTGTGTTGGACTTTATCAAAAGCTTTTTCTGCATCCATTGAGATGACCATGTGACTTTTATTTTTGGCTCTGTTAATGTGGTGTATTACATTTATTGATCTGCATATGTTAAACCATCCCTGCATTCCTAGAATGAACCCCACTTGGTCATGATGTATAATCTTCTTGATGATTTGCTGCATTCTATTTGCCAGTATTTTATTGAGAATCTTTGCATCAATGTTCATTAGTGAAATTGGCCTATAGTTCTCCTTTTTGGTTGGGTCTTTCTCTGGTTTTGTGATCAGAGTAAGACTTGCCTCTAGGAATGATTTAGGGAGGATTGCTTCCTTTTCAACTTCATTGAAGAGTTTAAGAGTATTGGCATCAAATCTTCTCTAAATTTCTTGAAGAATTCAGCCATGAGTCCATTAGGACATGGGCTTTTCTTTGTTGGTAAATTTTAATTATATTTGCAATTTCAATAGCTGATATTGGCTTATTCAAAATTGCTATATCTCCTAGGTTGAGCTTTGGTAGTTCGTATGTTCCTAGAAATATGTCCATTTCCTCTGTGTTTTCCACTCTATGTGAATAGAGATTTTCAAAGTAGGTATTCATCATCTTTTGAATTTCCATGGGATCTGTAGTAATTTCCCCCTTTTCAGCCCTTAATGCATGAATTTGGTTTTTTTCTTTCTTTTTCTTGATAAGATTAGCTAGAGGTTTGTCAACTTTATTTATTCTCTCAAAAAAAAAGAGCTTTTTCATTCATTAATTCTTTGGTTTTTTTTTTTTTTTTTAGTTTCAATTGCATTGATTTTTGCTCTAATCTTTACAATTTCCTCTCTTCTGAGCTTTGGGTTTAATTTGCTCTTCTTTTTCTAGAAGCTTGAGAGGAAGCATTAGGTTATTTATTTGTGCTCTTTCTGTTTTCTTGATATGACATTGCTATATATTTTCCTCTTAAGATCACTTTCATTGCATCCCACAGATTATATTGTTTCTGCATTTTCATTGAATTGTAGGTATTGCTTTATTTCTTCTTTAATTTCATCTGTAGCCCACTGGTTGTTCAAAAGGATGTTATTTAATTTCTATGTATTTATGCAGGTTTTACAATTTCTTTTGCCATTAATCTCCAATTTCAGTGCACAATGGTCAGATATTATGCATGGGATAATTTCAATCCCTTTGCATTTACTTAAGAATGTTTTATGGGATAATATATGGTCTATTTTGGAGAATGTCCCATGTGCAGCTGAGAAGAATGTGTATTCTAATGTGGCTGGGTGGGATACTCTGTAAACATCTACCAAGTCCAATTATTCACAGTTATGATTCAGTTCTATTATTTCTTTGCTGACTTTTTGTCTAGTTGATATATCACTTTGTGACAATGGGCTGTTAAGATCCCCTATTATAATTGTGTTCTTCTGTATTTGATTTTTCATGTCCATTAGTATCTCTTATATAGTTGGGTGCTCCTGTATTTGCCGCATATATATTTATAATTGTTAGTTCTTCCTCTTGAATTTTTCCACTAACAAGTATGTAGTGACCTTCTTTATCTCTTTTAATCATTTTTAGGTGTGAAGTTCACACTGTCTGCAAATAGAATAGTTACCTCTTTTTTCTGGGTTCTTGTTGCATGGAATACTGTTTTCCATCCTTTGATTTTTAATCTGTGAGTTTCCTTTTAGGTCAGATGTGTTTCTTGTATGCAGCATACTGTGGGATTATTTTCTTGGTCCATTCTGTCAACCTATTTCTTTTGATAGGTGAATAGAGGCCATCTACATATATGGGTATCACTGATATGTACTGGCTCTACTTTGCCATGTTATGTTCCAGTTATTTGCTTTCTGTTTTTTCCCCTTGTTTAATTGCTTGTCCTACCAGATGGTTTTTTTTCTCTTGTTGTTCTGGGGATTGTGATCATTTTTATCTCTATCTAGTATGTCTTTTAATACTCTTTTTAGGGTTGGTTTGTTGGATGTGAATTTCTTCAGTTCTTTGTCATGGAAATATCTTTATTTCTCCATTAAATTTTAATGAAAGTTTTTCTGGGTTTATCAGTTTGGATTGAAAGTTGTTTTCTTTCAGGACTTGAAATACCTCACTTAACTTGAGGGTCTTAACTTGAGAGTTTGTGCTGAAAAGCGTGCTGTGATTCTAATGGGCTGTCCTTGATAGGTGAGTTGTGTCTTTTCTCTAACAGCTTTTAGTATTCTGTTTTTATGCTCTATGTCTGAGATCTTAAATATTATATATGTCTGGGTGTAGGTTTATGTTGGTTGTGACTGGTGTTCTATATGCCTCACCAGATTTTTCCTCATGTTTGGTAAATTTCTGCTATTACTTTTGTGAGTATTTTAGTTATGTCATTGCATTGACTCCTACATCTTCACTGATGCCTATTAATCTTATATGGTTATTCTTGGCATCATCTTGCAGCTGCTGGATTGTTATTTCATGCTGTTTTGTTATTTTTAAGAGTTCTATCCTTTCATTATCACTGATTGTGATCCTGTCCTCAAGGTCCGAAATCCTATCCTCAGGTTCATCTAAATGGTTTTGCCAGGTTTAAATAGAGTTTTTTGTTTCTTAGATGTCTCTGAGTTTGTTTCATGAGTTCTGCTTGCTTTCTATACTGTTCATTCAAGGTTTCAATCAGTTTCCCATGCTCCTATACTTTTTTCTTATTTCTTGTTTAACTGTGCTCAGCAACTCCTTTACTAAGCATGTTATTTCTATCTTTACATGGGAGAGTATTTTTAATTTGATTTCCTCTATAGCCTCATGGAGTTTTTTTTTTTTTTTTTTCACTTGCTATCTTTTCAGATATTTCTGGTGTGTTACTTTTGAAGTCCTCTATTTTAATGTCTTCTGTCCTTGCTCCTGGAGGACATGTGACTGGAGCCTGCTGAGATCTTCTGTTTGGGTGAGGCAGTTACTGAATCTTCTTTCAAGCTAGCATAGTTAATCCACTGTAGTCCACGGCTCTCGGAGAAAGGATAGGAGCTGAAGATCAAAAGCAGTATTAGGGCCCGAGGGTAGGGAGTGTCCCCGAGGGCCCAGTAGATGTCCTGGGTCTGGGTGTCTGCTGGGCACAGGCCAAGGTCCCAGGTGGCATGGTGTTATCCAGGGCCAGCTGCAGTCACATAGGAAGCACGTGGCTGTGCAGGCCAAGGTCCAAGGGCAGCCCGCATTCCCCGGGGCCAGCAGGAGTCCTTCAATTAAACTACATTCTGCAGCATCTTGATGTTCTGGGGCCTGGTCACTTGCTCTGCCACCATCTGTACAAAGTGGAGTCAGGCTTTCTGGTACTCCTCTAGTCCTGAACTAGCCTAGGAAGCACATAGTTTCTGTGTGTACACACATTACCCTGACAACCAGCCTAGCCCGACCAGAAGACGGCCTACCACAATGCTCCAAATAAATATTTTTAAAAAATAGGGGCTGGGGATTTAGCTCAGCAGCATAAGTGCCTGCCTTGCAAGCAGGCAGTCGTGAGTTCGATCCCTGGTACCGATAAAAACGAAAAAGACAAAAAAGAAAATGAAAAAAAAAAAATCCTGGGGGCTGGGGATTTAGCTCTGTGGTATAAGTGCCTGCCTAGCAAGCATAAGGTTGTGAGTTTAATCCCTGGTATCAATCAAAAAAATCAGTCAATCAGTCCATCCTAGAGTGGTATGTGTCTATTGGATCCTCAGGGATGTTCAAGTAAACACATGCAACACTTTATGGAGCATAAAGTGTGTAAAAATCACATTTTGTCACATTTATGCACGTGCACACACCTTGCCATTCGTCATACCTAGTGAGTAAACACATAGATTGCTTCCTGTATCCCTCAAGAAAAGGTAGTGAGACACATTGGTGGCTACTATTATGCCAAAGTACAAATTGACAGTTGAAAATTTGAGATGGGTCCAATGGATCCAGTCATATACACCTGAGATTTTAACTTGTAGATGTCAGATTTTGCAGCTCAGGATGACAAAGTAGCTAAGACAACATCTAAATGTCTCTAAGCATAGTGCTACTTCTCTGCTTCAGATTCTCATCATTTATTTGGATTATTCTGGTGTCGTTTCAATAAGTTCCCTAATAACTATATCTTCAGTTCAAGATTTTAGAAGTTATTCATCATTAATTTCTTTGGCATTAATCGTATTTCCTAAAACCACATTAGAATATCATTTATCTTAATTACATAGTTTTCTTGGGCCTCCTTGTGCTTCACTCTCTTCATGTTTGCCTCAGCCCTCCTCCAGTCTTGTCCCCTTCAATCTGTTATCCACCAAAGACAGATAATTAACATAAATATCTATGTAATCACGCTTCATTCTTGTTTAAAAGTCAACAGCGTATCTCCTTGAGGTTCACACAACCAGATTTAACTTTATCAGCCTTTTTTCTGGCCTCTCTCACAACCCTCCTCTTTTTTGTTATTTTTGTAATGTTTATTTTAAAGAGAATAAGACCAAGCAAAACAAATCACAATAAAGGCAATCAAAACAAAACAGGGTAAGTGACATAGGACTTCAAGATAATAGGAAATCAACAATGGTCACCATAATGCCTCTCGTTGTCTTCAAAATAGCTGCCCTTACCCTCAGACATAGTAAAATTAAGCAAAACAGAACAGAAATGCAACAACAAAACCAAAACAATGAATTTAATACAGGACTTTAAAATAAGATAATAATAAATCCAAAATGGCTTTTATAATGTATCTTGCTATCTTTGAAACAGCTGCCCAAGCCATCAGATACAATATCAAATAAGACAAAACAGAGTAAAACCCAGCCACATAAAGCAATGAAAATGATACAGGACTTGAAAACAAGACAATAGGAAATTAATAATGGCTATCACCTTCAGAAGGAGATCCCCCATACATGCTACATTGCATACTGTTATCCTCTAAATAGATGATTAGACTACTGGCTTTAGGACTGCAAAGTCAGTGAAACACTAACCACTGCAAGCATTAAACTTTATTCCACCTCAATGGCTATCCTCTTAGCCTGTATTTCTCCAGATCAGCTGGTCACATATCATGAGGGTGGGAATGGGATGTTGGTTCTTCTTGTCTCTCAGCCCACGAGCTGGAAGGGGCTGGAATCTCGTTCCCCTCCCAGCAGCCCAAGCATGGTGCTGACTCACAGGAAAGGCTTGGCTTCTTGTTGGTTTCTTGTTCTCCTTCTCCACAGTCCAAAAACAGCACTTACTCATAGGAAAGGGCTGTCTCGTTCTTCTCCTTGTGGCCCATGCATGGTGCGGACGTGCAGGAAGGGACTGGATTCTTGTTTTTTTCCCCCATAGTCCAAGAATGGCGGTGACTCACAGGAAAGGGCTGGCATCTCCCAGCCTCCTGTTTAGATTTCCTCTTCTGTCCCTCAACCCTGGGGTGAGCATGACATCCTAGCACAGAATAAACATATAATTTTATTAGAGTTTTTCCTGAATTATTTCATCCCAGAGGTAATATAGATATTGCTGTTATTTTTTAGTCCTGTGTGTGTGTGTGTGTGTGTGTGTGTGTAGATAGAACCTAGAGCCTTGAACATGCTAATATTCTATCACTGAGCTACATTGCCAACCTGTATTACTTTATTGCCAAAACACTGAGCTATAAAACAATTTTCTTTAGGTGTCTTTGAGGCTTTCCATGTTTCTACTTCCTGGAAGAGCCTCTAGACGGCTTCAATGAGTCCTGCTACAGGATGAATAGTAAGTACATCCCATCCCTTTTCTACATCCCAGTCCAATCTTGTTGCCTTACATACTATAGCAGACTTTGCAATAAGTTAGGAATTTTGCATGGTGAATTCCTCCTGTATTATCTGGGTGTTCCCAGTGCAATTACAAAGAGCCTTGTAAGAGCCTTGTAAGGGCAGAATGAGCCAAGTGAGACAGAACTGTGATGGTAGAAGTGGAGGGATCAGCGACTACAAGAAGGAGACCACAAATTGGAAAGAGCAAATCATAGATTATCTCCTAAAGCATTCACAAAGGATGCAACCCTGTGACACCTTGATTTTGGACTTTCAATGTCCAAAATGGCAAGACAATAAATTTATGTTGCATTAAGCCACTCATTTTGGGGTAATTTGTTATAGCAGCAATGGGAAACTACTACACCTTCTCTTGAATGACATTCCTGATCTCCGAAACCTGCTCCGTGAATTTAAATGTTCCCCTAACTTCTTGTTCCTGCCCCTCGTAACACTTGACTTGCTGCATTGCATTTCCTGGTTAATAGTTTTCTCTCCCTCCTATAATTTCCTAGGTTAGGATTCATGTTGTTCATTGGTATCTCAACACTTAATTTAAATAGCTGAAGCTCAGTATTTGCTGAGTGGATGAATGAATGTGATTTTCTCAGTTAAAGAGAACCAACATTGTGTTTTTTATATTTAAGCTAGTGACTATTAAATTTAAGATGCAACTCAGGCCAGGGATTTAACTCAGCAGCATAAGTGCCTGCCTGGCAAGTGCGAGGTCATAAGTTCCATCCCTGGTACAAAAAAAAAAAAAAAAAAAAAAAATTCAGCTCCCAAATTTAAGATGCAACTGAATTTGTCTTCCTACCAAGAAACAAATTTAAAAGGCAAGAGGTGGGCTTTAAAAAATCCCATGAACACAAAATATGGGGAAGAGTAATAGAAGTATCCTTGACAATAGCGAGAAGCCTGCTCTTTTCCATGAACCTAATGAAGCCACAAATCCAGACAAAGTAAACCACTTCAGAAATGTTTAAAGTTTACCAGAGGTTTCTAAGCTTTTTGCATAGTCAGATACATTCTTAGAGATGACTTACGGGCCAGTCATAAAAAATTAATTCGCAGCGATGAATTGACAACCATGCTATGCTCGCTACTGAATATGATTCAAACATAAATTGGAGCCACATGACTATTCTTATTTTTCTTTGAAAATCTTTGCAAGACCCTATGTTTTAGTTTCACTTGGCTGCTATAGGACAATGTCATAAACTGGGTGAATTACAAACAACAAACATTTGTTTCACACAATTCCGGAGACTGAAAAGTACAAGATTGAAGAAATGGAGACTTGAAATTGGGAGAGGGTCAACTTCCTGCTTCATCTAGCAGCATCTTTGTGCTCATCCTCACCAGGCAGAAGTGCCAGACAGCAGTGGAAGGTCTTCTTTCTGAAGGCCAGTCTCACCCCAAAGCCTTAATACTTTTGAATTGGGGATTAGGTTTCCACATGTGAATTTTGGGCGACACAAACGTTTTTGCTAGTTTCACAATATAATTTCAGTGTGCTTATTGTAGGCACTAAGTTAGAAAGTGTGCTTATGATAGGTGCTAAGTTAGGAAGAAATTAATATATAGGCCAAAAAGGATTGCGCCCTCAAGCAAGCCAGTATGGAAGCAAAGGCCTCAGGCTGGAGTTGTAATAGCCTGGCCTGCAAAATAATTAACAACCTCAAATTATACTGAACTAGTACATTTGGGCTAGTGAGGCCAGATATACTAGCTGTCACACACGCAGGTGGGTGACCAGAACACCTGGACTTATGCTCCCGCCCATCTCAAAAATCTTTTTTGTTCTTTCCACGTATGTTTGCTGCATGACTCCTCTCCCTAGTGAATCAATGTAAGTGAAACAGCTCTACTTGTAAGCCTACAGGTTGATTGTAGTCTGTGCCTTGTTGTACCTGTGTTGTAACTTGGCCGTATAAATCACCCAGACATCTAATGAACTGGGAGTTATATTTTTGCTGTATCAGGCAGATTTTCAAAGGGAGAGTGCTTAACAACAACAACAACAACAACAACAACCCCGTGAGTTTCTCTTCCATTCTCCACCCTACTAACTGCAGAACTCTAGTATGTTATAGATGGGTTCTCTGTTTCAGATATTACAAGGCTGAAACCAACTTGTCAGCAAGATTGAGATTTTGTCTGAGGATTTTAGGGGGGAAATCCGTTTCCATGTTCAGTGAAAGAGTTAACAGAACTCAGATCTTTGTAACTACTTCAGAGGTCCCAGTTCATTGGCTATCAGCCAGGGGTGGCCCTCAGCAGCTAGAGTCTGCTTTAGGTCCTTTTCATGTGGTTACCACTGTCAGTCACTTCACAGCCTAGATGTGGGTCTGCATATTGCAACTGCAGCCGGGTGACTGTAATTTCAAGTTGCCTGTTTATCTTACAGGCCTGGCTATTGCAGTTCCTGCTTTCATGTAGGTTGGCTGGAACATAGCTCAGAAACTTCATCTTTTTGGATAAGCCAGAAAAATATTCTACTCTTTTAAAGGTTAGGTCATGCCCATCCAGATAATGTCCCTACTTAATTTAACTCTGCCATTTAACACGACATAATCATGAGAATTAAGTTCATCATATTCACAGTCCTGGGCAACCACAGCCCCAGGGTGTGGTTTGAAAATCTTGGGATCCATTTGAAGATTCTGCCTACCATGAGACTACTAAAGTAATGCATTTTGAGATCGGAGTTGTATACTGAAAAAGAAAAAAATAAAAGCAAAACCCTGAGTTTTTCTTAGCACAACTGCTCACATAACAATAGAGAACGAATCTCTTAATGGAATTAAACTTCAGCTCACAATTATGTAATTAGTTCCATTGAATGTGATTAAAATGATTAATCTAATTGTTTCAGCATGACCTGTAACTTCAATTGATTACACAATTATGGCAGCAGGTAACTAGCTTCCGTGGGCCGCCCCTGCTGGCTGAAGGTTAGCGAATTAGTAAAACGGGCCAAGCAGAACAGTTTGGGTCGCCCTCTCTCTTGGCCCTGGAGACTGAACGCAGGGCCTTGCATCTGCTAGGCAAGCACTCTACCACTGAGCTGCATCCCTGTCCTGTGGAAGCGCTAAAAATATCAAGTGATGGTAGTATATTGTAGTTTCATCCGGTACTACTATTATGAGTATGAATAAAAAAAAATTAAGAGGAAAGTAATAGTGAAAAAACCTTTCAACGTGGAGTCGGGGTGTGATTAAGAAACAGGGCTGTGTTCACAGTTGCTGCTGCTGTCTGGAATGCGAACTTTGATCACTTCTATGCTTTGACTGATGAAAACATCTGGAAAGACCATAGTTACCTCATGTCCAGAGACTCCAGATACAGTTTGAAAGGTCATCTGACTCTTGTATCATGGGTATTTCCATTCTGTCTATATAATCACTTAAATTTCCTTAAATTTTACTCACTATCTTTTATGGCTCCCTGTTTATAGTACATAATGATTGGGTTTGTCACAGGGAGTTGGCTCATGTCCATAAATATACCTCAATTCCTGTTTCATTCCCTCCCCGCCCATCCTTCCCCTCAACTCGTGCGCCCCTCTTATTTACCGAAGCTCCATTTGCATTTTTCCTCTCCAACTCTTTTTTCTACGCACTGCTTCCCTCCCCAGCCCCCCCATCTCTCTTCCCCTTCCTACTTGAGAAATATCTCTGTACTTTTATTTATGCATCTTATGTTTTGCCCTTTATACTTTAGGTTTCCATGTAAGAGGTACCATGTGATATATAAGCTGATGTGTCTGATTTATTTCACTTACTATTGTGGTCTCAAGGTGCATCTATTTACCTAGGAATGCCTCAGGTTTATCCTTTCTAGGGCAGAGGAGTACTCCACCATGTTCTATTTACATATTTTTTATTTTTTTAAATTTTTATCGGTACCGGGGATTGAACTCACGACCGCCTGCTTGCAAGGCAGGTGCTTATGCCGCTGAGCTAAACCCCCCCATATTCTTTTCTTTATCTTCCGTCAGGTAACCCTCCTTTCTTTTCAATATTGAACAGTCCATACAAACTTCTATTTCTTCAGCCTTCCCTCAAGTACTGATTCAGAGGTATCTGAACACGTGTCTCCTGAATTAGAATTCCTAAAAGTCCAAATGAAAGTCTTTTTCTGTTATTTTAACATGCTTTTTCTTTGTTCCTTTGTTTGTTTTCTTTTTTGTGTGTTGGGACTGGATCCCTGGTCTCTCCTATGTGCTAGACAAGTGCTCTATCCGTGAGCCACATCCCTTCCATCTAAATACATTTTTATTTCTAATTGATACATAGTAATTGTACATATTTATTGCATGCAAAGTAACATTTCAATACATGCAAGCAAGGTATAATGATCAGGTCAGGTAACTGGCCTATATATCACAGCAGACATTTAAAGCTTTTCCTAGTAGCTATTTTAAATTATTTAATTTCTTGTTGTCCTAGTTACTCTATGTGCTAGAAAACATTAGAATATTCCTCCTGCCCCACTGTACCCCTTTACTCCTTAATCATCCTCTCTCCATTAGCTTTTCCCCCACACCCTTCTCAGGCTCTGGAAGCTACTATTCTATTCTCTGATTCTTTTGTGATCAACTTTTTAGCTTCTGTAAGTGAGAACACGTGATATTTATTTTTC